GAGAAAGTTGACGCTGCGACGACCAATCTTATCCGCAACGCTGAGAAACGGAGCGCCACAGAAATTGCCGATAGTCATAAGAGCGTTGATGATACCGAGTGTCGAGCCGCTATTTTCGAAACCGAAGTAGTCATGCCAGTAGAGGTTGGAGTTGATGCTGCTAATGACACCCCAATCGATACCATACCTACAAAAGCGTCAGCTCGACAGCATCAAGGATGTAATGAGTCAACGGCCTTACGCGGCTTGGTTAAATCCCATGGTCACCATGATGAGAAAGATGCGAAAGCCAGCCTTGGACTTCAGAGACAGAGCCTCCCGGGACTTGGTGATCAAGTGGTCTTCAGTGATTCGGGCTGTGACGATCTCTTCAACAGCAACGCCTGACTTGTTTGCATCAGCTTGGACATCTTGGTAGATGTTGTGGCGCTCGAAAGAGGCTCTTCGTGCCTGGATAGGCATATTGATATCCTGTGGATCGTGGTGATCTCTTACGAGTCAAAAAGACAGCAATATTAAAATGATGCATTTTGCTGTTGGATGTTAGATCGTCTTTATATAATTTCTAGAGAATGCCTTCTATGCCGCCATTGTCTTGACTTAGTTAGTGCACTTCTTACCAGTCAAGTGCCGCACGAGAGAACAATCGACAAAGTGAGTGAGTGTAGAACCCATCCTCCGAAGGTTGAATCACACCACTTCTCGACTACCCTTCTTCTCTTTGGTGGGTTCAATCACAGCCCAATGCTGCATGTACGTGATAGCTATCTGCAGTCTGTGCGATGTCGGCTAAAATGCCTCCAGTTTTTAAACCACTCTCAACTCTGGGGCATGTGGGTACAATCATCAACCTAAATAATAATCCCTCCAATAGCAACTCCAAGCCCTTCGTTACCCCATGGGCCGTTCATCCGTCCGCGTGGGTTTGTGGGGTTGACCATCCTGTTCGGGTCTAATCCATCATAATCGGCCCTGCTCGGCAAGCAAAAAAACAAGAGAGATTTATCAACTTCCCCTCATCAATCATTAGCCCCAGCATCATCATCCCATGCGCTTTTTCCACCATCAAACGCCATGAATCCATCGCGGCAAAACGGCGCGCATATCCAGTCACCTTCCACAATGGACCAAGGCGAGTCAAGTGGCACAGACAAAGCCATGCTATTGCATTATGCCGCCCCCGCATCTTCGTGGTCTGAGGCTCTTCCCATTGGCAACGGGCGACTGGGAGCTATGGTCTACGGGCGAACGTCGACTGAGCTGCTCCAACTCAATGAGGATTCTGTTTGGTATGGCGGCCCTCAGGACAGAACACCACGCGATGCGCACCGTCATTTAGCTACTCTCAGGCAACTGATCAGAGACGAGAAGCACAAAGATGCTGAAGACCTTGTGAAAGAGGCTTTCTTTGCTACGCCATCGAGCATGAGACACTACGAGCCACTGGGCCAATGCAAGATTGAGTTTAATCACCAAGAGAGTGAAGTGACCAATTACACACGGTATCTGGACCTGAAGACTTCTCAAGTCACAACAAGTTATAAATGCAACGACATAGAATATCGTCGCGATATAATTGCCAGCTTTCCAGACAGTGTACTCGCTATCCAAGTCCAAGCATCCAAAAAGAGCCGTTTCGTTATCCGGTTGAATCGACAGAGCGAGAATGAGGTAGAGACCAATGAGTACCTCGATAGCATCTTCGCGCAAGACTCACGGATTATCCTCAACGCAACACCTGGCGGCGCAAATAGTAATCGCCTGTCTCTTGTTCTTGGAGTTTCCTGCGAACTTAGCGACGGGACTGTTAGGGCAGTCGGAAATTGCCTGATTGTGGACGCGCCAAGATGTGTTATCGCGATTGGGGCGCAAACTACGTTCAGAAAAGATGACCCCGAAAGATCAGCTCTTTTAAATGTTGATGATGCTCTCCGACGATCATGGGATGTTCTCATTCGCCGCCATCGATGTGATTATACCAACCTCTTCGGCCGAATGTCCCTGCGGTTGTTCCCTGACGCGAACCATCTACCAACAAATAAGAGGATCATCAGCAATAGAGACCCGGGACTAGTCGCCCTGTATCACAACTACGGTCGATATCTGCTCATTTCGTCCAGCCGAAACTCTGAAAAGGCTCTACCGGCAACATTGCAAGGAATATGGAACCCTTCGTTTTCACCGCCTTGGGGATCCAAGTTCACCATCAACATTAATCTCCAAATGAACTACTGGCCTGCTATCCCATGCAGTCTCATCCAATGTGCTATACCACTCATCACCCTGCTCGAACGCATGGCTGAAAAGGGAAAACGAACAGCCAAGATGATGTACAACTGCAAAGGATGGTGCGCTCATCATAACACTGACATATGGGCTGATACAGACCCCCAAGATCGCTGGATGCCTGCGACTATCTGGCCACTCGGAGGAGCCTGGCTATGTACTGATGTTGTCAGGATGCTCATATATCAGTACGAGCCTACCCTACACTGTCGCATCGCTCCAATCCTCGAAGGCTGTGTTCAGTTCCTTCTTGACTTTCTAATTACATCTGCTTGCGGCAGATACCTGGTCACCAATCCGTCATTGTCTCCGGAAAACAGCTTTGTGTCCCACTCAGGAGAGACAGGGATCTTCTGCGAAGGGTCTGTAATCGACATGACAATTGTGCGCATTGCGTTTGAGAGCTTTCTATGGAGCATTAGTATCCTCGATCCCGATCATCCGCGAAGGAACGACGTCATCGCAGCTCTTGATAAGCTACCGCCCATGTCACTCAACAAGGATGGACTCATACAAGAATGGGGCCTGAAGAACCACAAAGAAGCTGAACCAGGACACCGACATGTATCGCATCTCTTTGGGCTATATCCCGACGATTCTATCAGCATGGACTCATCGCCGCTCCTGATCAAGGCTGCAAAGAAAGTCCTTGCAAGGAGAGCGGAGCACGGAGGAGGTCATACAGGTTGGAGTAGGGCATGGCTACTAAACCTTCACGCACGGCTCCGAGACTCGGAAGGTTGCCAAAACCACATGGATCTGTTGCTCAAAACGTCGACATTGCCAAACATGCTAGACAATCATCCTCCATTCCAGATTGACGGCAATTTTGGCGGATGTGCTGGGATCTTGGAGTGTCTGGTCCAATCTACACTAAGATCTGAGCCGTCGAGACAGGTCGTCGTGATACATCTGCTACCGAGCTTACCGTCGTCTTGGGCAGGTGGGAAGCTGACTCATATCAGGGCTATGGGAGGTTGGCTTGTTTCTATGGAGTGGAGGGCAGGCATGCTTGTAAAACCTCTGCAGGTGGAAGCCACTGTGATGCAGGCTCCAGACGCTCTCGTTGTGTTTCCTAACGGGGACAAGGTTTATGTGTCGAGTAAGAAAGCAGGCCCACAAAGTATATGGCATAAATGATATGTCTTAATATTGAAGATGCGAGACTTAATTGAATGGCGCCTGTCTTTCCAGTCTTGACTGGCGAGAATCTCAAATACCTGACTTATCAAACCCATGAATATCCGTTCCAACCCAGCGTTGAAACAAATGTCGTCCAACACAATAGCTTTCTCCAAACCAAATAGTAAAACCCCCTCGACAGTCAATCACGAGTTGTCCATGATTTCATTTTGCATCCCAACTTGTAAACTCAACGCCATGGCCCAGGCCTCAGACGAGAAATGTACTGGCATCTTTTCTGCCTTGCGAGGCAATATCGAACCTCGACCAAAAGTGTCAGCATATCCAACTAATTGTTCCTCTTGAAGGTCTTCGTACCAGTTTATCGCCAGGAGATCCATTCAAAAGCTCGAGCCCCTCAGGGCACGCCTGCTCGTGTCACTGCCCTGGCTGGATGTTTGCTTGGACTTTCCCTTCCGGAAACCGTTGCTTGACCCGTGAAAAGACCGATCCCAAGCCCCGGCCCTCGCTGGGCTAGATCTGAGCTTGGCTCCTCCACCTGACGATCTGAGAGTCGCAGTCCCGTTGAGCCCCATTGCTCTTCCTCCTCCAGGCCCGGAACGGCGTCTGCCTCCGCAAAGTCCACAACACATGTTGGCAGATTTAGGTTTGATGAAAGATGAGTAGGATGAGTGCGTGTGTGGGAGTGGTAGTGTAAATGTTTGTGGTTAAGGGAGAAACAAAAGAAACGGTAAGAGAGAACTGGGGGAGACACGGATACTTATAGATGGAAAGAGGCAACTGGAATTATCTTCTGACTTTTATGACTAATTTTCTCCTCTGCAGACTTATTTTGAGTTTACCAGAACTATGTTTCTCGATTGTGCTTATTTCAACTAAGTTCTCTCGGTTCATTTAAACTCTCAGCCAGTACTGTGTACTTGAGCTTCTGCGCAATGTTTCTCGCATGTAGCTGTACTAAGTTCTGTCGGCTGGTTTAAGCTCTCAGCCATGAAATTCCTGAATGACTACCTAGTCATTCGGTTGTTTTACCTGGCCAATTGTGCGATGTCACATATATTGCGCTCAAGGTAACCACTACCGATACGAGCGAAACAATGGTCCAACTGGATAAGTGTACGGTTATCCATACCGCTCAGTGGTTTAAAATTCATTCAATCAACCGAAAGTTAAATAACAACTGATAACTAGATACCACCTGTTTGTTTTAATCTTAGCCTTGGGGGATCCTGTATACCTCATTCTTGCTATCTATGGACTTCTTGACTCCAAACCCAGATATTGAATAAGTATCCTTTAAAGCAGTAGACGTCTTTGTTCTAGATACCCCCCTGTAGAGTAAAATAGGGGACATCTATTACTTTATCCTCGTCCTGACTTTCATAAGGATATAAGTGTTGATATATTAAACTCCTAATTCGATCTTAAAAACCTTCTTACCTTGGCTTTTCTTTATTTCTTAAATCCCTGTGAGAAACGACGTCCAGCTTGAGCTGAAAATGTCAGTTTATTAAAGTCCTGATTCATTTTTAAAAAACCTTACCGAAATTGTTAGCAGCCTTTACGCCGCTCTAAGAGACTTGGCCTCCATATTTGGCTAAAAGTGTTAATGTATGAAGCTCATAATTAATTCTCAAAAGGCTTCTTACCCATATTACTAGCAGTAGCTGCCATCGCATTTATACCAGCCTTGGACTGTCTAAGCTTTCCACGCAAGCTGTTAGCCGGCGGTTGATACACTTTCGTCTTACGCTTATTCCCAAAGAGCATATCCTGTGATAGCGGCTTTACCTAGCTTTTGGTAGACGTCTGATTTGTGAGCTAGATGTCTTACCAGCAAGTTGAAACTTGTAGGTCAGAACTCAAGCAGGACTTACCGTGGAGCGAATGGAACCATTGGAGCCACTGAGGCCACGCCTGCTCGTGTCACTGCCCTGACTGGCTCTTTGCTTAGACTTTCCCTTCCGGAAGCCGTTTGTCGATCCAAAGAACGATCGATCCCAAGCTTGGTTGCCCGTATCTTTGAGCTGCCTTGCTTTTGCATCCACCCTGGTGTGGCTGACCCTCTTGCTTTTGCGACTGAATCGTGACGGGCTGCGTGGCTTCCCACCACCCATAGCTTGGGCAAACGCGCGACTATTGATCTTGTCGCCCCTGGACTGACGTCCCCAGCCGGTGCCGCCGCACATGATTGCGGATGATAGTATCCTAAAGGATGAGTAAGATAGGTGCGTGCGTGTTTGTCTGGAAGGTGAAGTTATAGAATTTGTTGGTGAGCAGAGGGAAAGCAGAGAGATAATGGGGGAAGACGCAGTTATTTATAGCGTTCTGACCCAAGCCACAGAAATCCCATCTTACCTCTAGTGTTTCAAGTATTGTATACCTCAGATCCGCTACAGCTTATGTGAATAAGTCTCTATTTGACAATTTACTGTCTAGAGGACTGACTTCTGGTGGGTAAGTCAAGGCTCTAGGTTCAGGCCGCAGATATCAGTTACAAATAGAAGCACTTTATTGCAACTTATACATTCCACCATAGTAGTTGACCAATTACTGTGTTTCATGCACATCCTTCCCCGCATTCCCCTCTGGACCCTGAGATTGAGGTGACCGCTACTCGTATAAACAAAACAGGTATCTAATTGGACAAATAGGCAGCTTGAGCAATATAGTTCCATTGTCAGGTCACTCACGAATTCAATTTATATAAGTCAAAACATAAACAGATAACACGTGTCTCATCAAGGGGATTTGCCTAGCATCCGCCCAACCATAACAATTCTCATGACAGTCTCAGCACTCTCACGGGTTAATTTCTCCGCTTCCAAAACCGCATCATCCAAACTCATTGGTCGCTGTATGATACAGGTGAAAGCATCAATCCCAATGTCATAGTTCACTCTGGCTCCATGCCCAATCGTACCCGCGATGGCAATCACAGGAAGTCCATGGTTCTTTGCCAATCTGGCCACTTCTGCGGGGATCTTTCCCCTCGGCGTTTGATCGTCAATTCCCCCCTCTGCAGTAAGTACAAGATCGCAGTCTTCAAAGATACTGTGCAAGTTGATGTACTGCATAATAACCTCATATCTGGGTCTGAGTGTAGCTCCTACCAAGCGCAAGCCTGTTCCAAGACCTCCCGAGGCACCGCCTCCAGGAGAAAGTCGGACATTTTTGTCGCAGAGAATACCTGTAGCAACGTCTGCCAAATTTTCCATGGCGAGACTGAGGCGAGCGGCTTGCTCTGTGGTTGATCCTTTCTGGGGACCGAAGACATTTGCCACTCCGCCGGGTCCGCAAAGTACGTTATGCCAATTCACAGCGACGTCAATTTTGGCTTTGAAGACGCGCTCGTCGACTCTAGTGAGGTCAATAGAACCAAGTTCCAAGAGTGACTCGCCACCAGCACCCAAGGGGAGGACACGTCCTTGGACATCAACCAGTCTTGCACCGAGAGCTTGGAGCATCCCCGCGCCGCCATCACACGTCCCAGAGTCACCGCATCCAACCAGAATGCGCGTAGCTCCAGCATCAAGCGCAGCAAGGACGAGTTGACCAACACCAAATGTTGTTGTCTTGCCTGGATTGCGACGATTGGGCGGGACTAAGCTCAGGCCAGCAGCAGCAGCCATTTCCAGGACGGCCGTGGTTGGCTCATCGTCTTCGCGACCAAGGAGACCAAAGAATGACGTGACTTGTTCTCCCACGGGTCCGACCACGTGTACGCGGTGCAATGAGCCGCCTGTAGCTGTGACAATGGCCTGTGTGAAACCTTCGCCTCCATCAACCAATGGAACTTTGCGGACCGAGGCATTAGGTTCAACAGCGAGGATCCCGGCTTCAATACAGTCTGCAGCCTCATTGGGCTGAAGGCTGCCCTTGAAGCCAGATGGACAGACAAGGACTCTCATACTTGGTGTAGCGACAGTGGAGCCCATTGTCATTCTGTCTGTGTAAAAGGGCTTGAGTAAGTGTTCACACAGATTATGAAGAAGAGGTATTGATAGGATATAAACGATAGGCTTGTTGTAGCGAATGGAAGCTTTCCAGCTTAAGTTCTATAGCGAATGTGAAGATGAGGCTGTTGATTGTTCTGAATCGCTATTTTCTCTGCCTACACATGGCATTATTATATACTTGAATGCTTTTGTCTACCCCCATGTTTCCAATTCCAATTGACCGCATCTCATCTAGTGAATGATCCCATCTTCTCACTCAGCCCCAACAAATCAAAATATACACTAGCCTGCATCGCAGAAGGGACAGCCCCAGAATAGTAACAGGTCGTCTGCCACTCTGTCTTGAAACGAACATTAGCTCAATCTTGATTTCTGGAATGCGCTTGCGTCACGCGATCACCCAAGCCACATGGCATAAATAGAATGCATTGATATGGGGATTTGCCTCAAAGATCAATCAGGCGAGTCAAGATAAGGGACGCGTCATTCATCACAGGGCTGAGGAGATCATCACTGGGCAGCTCGCTTATGAGTTTGGCATGTCAGAGTGGATAGGGCAATGGAAGCTATAGCAGGGATAGAATTTAAGCTTAATTCAAGGTCTCGTGGCTTGAGTGGGCAATGCCGAGTTAAACGTCATCAAGGTTGCGTACTAACGGCGCCGTCATTGCTTGGCCCTTATCTAAGTTCCGTGAATCATGCTTCTGCCAATCAACGAGAGACACGCCATGCACAAGAGGCATATTAATAGAAAAGCCATTGGAGCAGATCTTTGGCTCCGGAGAAGCTCACAGACGCTTGATTTCCGCTCGTGAGTTTGCATCATATGGTTTGGAAATATGACTTGTGAGCCCCGGAGCGAAAACGAGAAGTCAATATTGCAGAGACTGTCGCTGAGATCCCGCGCACAAATTGTACTTCAGGGCTAGGGCTCTGGAGCTGAGAGGCAATTGTCTCGGGAAGTTGGAATATTCCGAATTTCATGGCGTGATGATGCGCGATATGATTTCCGCCTTCAGGTCTTGGCGATGCTGCTTGAGCAAATGAAATGGCCCCAACCCAACCAAGCTAAGTCGAAACGAAACTTCTAAGCCACCTTAGTGACGACCATGAGCAATGAACAGCTGAAACCGCTGTCAATCACTGGAATCACTCAATCAGCGATACGAACATTTCAGCAAAGGCGCCTAGCGGTATACTGTCCAAGACAGTAGCCTCATCAGTGACGCATTCAGGCTGTGTAGACTTGACAGTCTTTTACTGCTAGCAAGATGATACGGAATGGCGTGGTTCTGGCGAGTTGTTCTTCTTGCTTGTGCAGGCTGTGCCTTTATCTTTGCATATTTTAGCGTTAGTTGCTAAACATGGTCAAGTTACAGCCTCTTATCCTGATCCAACAAGCTTTGGAAAATGTGAAGATATAACTGACCATCTCAGCCCTCCTATGATAGGAATCAACTGATCAAAATACACTCGCTTACTCATTCTCTCGTTCTATCATCACTGTTTGCAGTCTATACAGCTCCCCCAGACGACATTCGTTGCCTTGTAATTGCCCCATTCCCTATTGTCCTGCAAGCAATGAGCAAAAGCAACACTCCAGCACTCTCAAGAGCTGGCTCTCGTTCCTCTCTTTGGAGGTCTTGGAGCCCCATGCTCGAGGACTTGGTCAACTATGAGAAGTCGCGTGAGAATTATCCTTGGCTGATAGGTGATCATGACCGTGACATAAGCTATGACCCGAACCGTTCGAGTCGTTCACGGCCACTCGCGTCCCTTGCGGAAGACCCGGATATTGCGAGCCAGTCAGACCGATCTGCAAAGTCGTCTGAAGATTTAGAGCGCCATCCAATCCCAGAGCCCCTTCTTTTGCCTCAAGACGAGGACCCAGACCTGGTAAGCTAGCGCTCATCTCAATCACCTTTTTAACTATCCCTGCACCTTCTGGATGCCATAAGTATTAACACAAAGGTCAGGTGACCTGGGATGGTCCCCATGATCCCTCTAATCCACACAATTGGACCAAGGGCAAGAAATGGCTCTCGACAATTCTTGTCTCCTGCTTCACATTCATTTCCCCCGTCTCTTCGACCATGCTGGCTCCAGCCTTGTCAGATCTCGCCAAAGAGTTCAAGATCTCATCTGACTTTGAGACGTATCTTCTCATGTCCATCTTTCTTTTGGCTTATGCCATTGGCCCATTCTTGCTCGCTCCCCTGTCAGAGATGTTTGGGAGAGTTGTTGTTCTTCAGTCTGCTAACATGTTCTATCTGATCTTCAACACTGTGTGCGGCTTCTCGAAAACCAAGGAGCAGATGCTTGTCTTTCGCTTCTTGAGCGGTCTTGGCGGGAGTGCACCTCAGGCGGTATGACCACCGATACTCACTACCCTACTATTCTTACTAACGATTCGAGTCTAGCTTGGAGGCGGCGTGCTGAGCGACTGTTGGAAGAAAGAGGAGCGCGGAACTGCAACCGCCATCTACAGCCTTGCACCATTTTTGGGACCTGCTGTGGGGCCCATAGGTAAAGCAACTCAACTCACGACAAGGGCTTCGGACTAACACATCTCCAGCCGCTGGCTACCTAACCCAACACTTGAACTGGCGATGGATTTTCTGGGTGGTCTCCATAGCCGACGCTGTGGTTCAAATTCTCGCGTTCCTGTTCTTGCAAGAGACTTATCCACCCAAGATTCTCAAGGTCAAGGCCAGAAAGCTCCGCAAGGCCACTGGTAACAGACTTCTCCATACCGAATTTGAGCAGAGAGATCGATCCTTCGTTTCTTTACTTTTGACCAACCTCAAGAGACCATTCAAGATGCTGTTTACCCAGCCAGCCATTCAGATCACAGCTCTGTATAGGGGGTATTTATATGGTCTTATGTATCTAGTGTGAGTGTAAGCCCTTGATATCCATCATAATCACCGACTTACGCGCCCCTAGTTTTGCTTCCTTCCCCATGGTCTGGGAACAGCAATACAACCAAGAGCCTGGCCGTGCCAGCCTGAACTACGTCTCTCTTGGTATTGGATTTGTCATTGGGCTCCAGGTGTCCGGTCCCCTGATTGACAAGGTATTTGACCTCTTCTCACATTTGGTCGCACACTAAATCTCCAAGGTCTACGCAATGCTCAAGATTCGGTATAACCACCATGGCCGGCCTGAATTTCGCGTACCTCTGATGTTCCCAACCGCACTTGTCACCCCAGCGGGTCTCGTTCTATACGGTGTCTCGGCACACCTGAAACTCCACTGGATCATCCCAAATTTCGGGACAGCGATCTTTTCTGCAGGGCTCATTCTGTCGTTTCAATGTGCTCAGACGTACATCATTGACTCTTATGAGCGGTATGCCGCTAGTGCGACTGGGGCAGCTGCTTTTGTCCGTACCATGGCTGGCTTTAGCTTTCCTCTGTTTGCGCCTGCTATGTATCAACGTCTTGGGATCGCGTGGGGAAATGGCCTGCTTGCGGGCACAGCCGTGTTGATCTGTCTTGTCGCGCCAATTGTGCTCTGGCGTCATGGAGAGTGGATTCGAAGGAAGAGTCCTTACTGCGCAGGATAGAGCCGCCAAGTCTTTACATTCCCGAAACGAAGTTTAAATTTGACTTAAATATCTACACTTGCTGACACCTATTCAAGCATTTCTTAATGCCGTTCCGCCTTCCTGCTCCGAATCTGCTTCACTATCCGAGTCAGCAAAAACCAGAGTATCTACCGAGCGAGTCAAGCCAGTAATCGAATTGGGACGATTGAAAGCTGAGATATTTTTCTTTCTTATAGCTCTGAAAAACGCATCTCGAACATCATGAATAACTGGGTTAAGTGTGTCTCTCAATTCCCGATACAATGTGTCGTGAGATCCCTGAGCTAGATTGATTGGCCCCCAGTTGAGGTAGATCTGTTCGTGAGCATCAGGTTCAACAGGCCTCGAGGGGTGATGTCGATAGTAAAGCTTACAGCAAAAACAAGAAAACTTGCTAGTGCCAATAAAGCGGTCGTCATCCGCGAAGCGCAATCCGTTTCTGTGAAAATGCTCCAGAACTTGAACCTCGCAGTGGACTATCGGGGGATTCGACTGTAGCTTGAGGAATTGCTCTTTGACTCGATCTTCTAATCCAACATGATTCTTGAAGCGGGATAGGTCTTTCTGGAGATAAGAAAAGTCTTCATCTCCGTTTGAAATCATTCTTCCCAGTATGCTGTCCAGGTTGGTGTGGGAATCAATTTCTGGTGGCTGTGCACCCGATGGGGCGGGGACTTCAGACACTCGAAATACGTCAAGAACTTGTCTCACACGCAGAGCGTCCTCAACAAGATGCTTCGAAACACGGATATGATCCGCGAGCCTTCCAACAAAATGTCTTGCATTATAAGAGGCTTTTGCTAGCATTTCACTGCCTTCGTCAACAAGAGCCTCTTGACTTAGTCGTAGAAGTGTGTCCATTTGCGGATCGTTCCGAGATATGTAAGCTGACATGCATATATCGTAGGCTCCGAGGACTTCTCGGTATTGGAATCGTTGCAGCCATAGTTTTAGACTTCTCGCTTCTGACTTCATGTTAGGCACGCCTGTACATCTTGCACCGTATTGCAAGACATACCAGTATCAGCCACGTTACCGCGGCGAGTCACGGATCCATTCAAGTGACTAATGCACAACGTTGCCATCCTCGATAGTAGGCTTGCTTCCTTTCTAATCCTAGGGGCTGCAAAGGCTGCAAAGGACCTAGCCAGATTGTTCACCTGTTCAGCCAGCCAACCTACACTGGGGTCTGGCTCTCGTGTCACATCTTGAAGGCGTTGTAATGTTTGTCTCAAGAATGTCGGTGTCCTATGTGCCAAAGTAAACTCACCCTGCTCAAAACCATGATCAAAACCCTGATTTGATGCCACCCAGAAAACAGAACTTTCTTCGGAGTCTTCAATACCAATTGATGTCGTAGCTCTACCGCCTTTATCCCAGTCACAGTAGTGGGCAAGCCCTGTTGTGAGTCGGCGGCGAGAGGCGGTCAAACTTATATTATCGTGTTTGACAGTCACTTGTGGACCTTGAATGGGCTGTTCGATCCAAAGAAGTACCATTGCCTCATACAGTCGCGCGATGAGTCTTTGATATTTGTCGAGTCGAGGCGTGCCAACTCTAACGACAGTGGTTGGTGGCATTGGAAAGATCTCCTCTGTTTGAGACATCGTCAAAGAAGAAGACAAGATCATGTGCTAGAGTTTGGAAATATCAGTAATGGGCCTGAGATGTATATTAATAGCTCTTACAAGATCTGGTCCAAGTTTACGCACTTTGGACAAAGAGGGGGCTCTTCTCCAGTAAATACTTGGTTTTATATAGTAGCGTGGCTGATTTCTTTTGCTTGGAATGTCTGTTACCCAATATGAATGACGTATAAAGATTAATAAACGAGTGATTTCAGATCCTGGGTTGAAAACTGGGCTGTGTCTCAGCTTACATTTGGTTACAATACGCAATAGTCAAGGAAGTGCCAGAAGGGAGCAGATAACGCAGCTGTTATGTCTCAAATTGATGGCTTTGTCTGCCACTTGGTCGGCCTCCCGCATACGCTTTACTGCTTTGATAGTTTTAATGGTCTGCCTCCCGCTTCATCGCGCGGGGTTGCCTGAGGTATTGGTCTGCCTCCTGCAGATGGCCAATAAGAGCAGACTCCTTTTGATAGGAAATTACAAACCCCGCCAAATGACGCCATTATTTGTAATTTCTGTGTATGTATAGGAGGAAGATTTAAATCAAGCTGACCGCTATAGCCTCAACGCATTTTTGACATCAAGATCATCAGTCCAGCACAGCTGATTGATGAGTTGGCCACTCCAAGACTTCCAAGATATAGACGAGTCCACAACTTTCGAACAAGCTGTGGACTCGTCTCAACCAAGCCTGAGTTCGCAACCGTCCTATGTAACAGAATATTTTGAGCAATCTAACTAACACCCAGCATTATAGTATCTCTCGGAGATACTCCTTACAGTTTTTCCAGTAATGCTTTCAATGCGGACTTCCCAGAAAACCCGGTTTTATCCCAGAACGTTCAAACTTTTGAGGCTTTTGATATTTTCCAAAACAACTTGTTTCTTGATAACCATTCGCAACTTCCGAACCTGGACTTGGTTCAAGACGACGATTTACTCTTGACTGTCCCCGAGCTGGCTGCTCCGGATGAAACTGGAACCGGTCAGTTTACATCAGAAAGGCTGTACTTGCGATATGAATCAGACATTGATCCACAGAATGACACTTCCACCATTCTGTAGAATGAGTCATCCGTGCAGATCGATGAATCTGGATTCATTCCACAGAATACCTTTACTGATGCATACTGGAGAAAGCATTTGCCTTCCCACAACAGCATCATGAAAAGTCATGACGAGATTGTGCTGGGGCAAACAATCAACAAGGAATATGACGAATGGAGACTTTCATATCCTAGAAAGGATGAATTTGTTGCCAACAGTTTGTTCTATTGCAATCGTCGAGACTGTCTGTCGTCTTTCCAAACGTCTAGAGATAGGAAGTGAGTATCTCTTCTCTACCTACTATGGCTCGTAAAAGGTCTAACAAGTGGCAGTGCACATATCAGAGAGCAAGAAAAGCCAGTCATTTGTCCACAATGCCCTACGCGAATGGGTTACCAAACTGACATGAAAACACATGCTCAAACCCATCTGAAGGATGAGCACCGCCAACGTCATCCGTGTCCAGTTTGTGGAAGGTTATTTACGAAGTTGTGCAATATGAGAAGGCATGAGAAGAAGCATTGAGGTGTCTTTATTGTGGCTTGCCACTATAGCGACTCCGCCAAGTATACCTCAGAGCTTTGATATCTAATTCATTTCCTTTTGCGCTATGCTTCAAAATTATTCTTCTCGTAAGCCAGTAGTTGCTCACTCTAAAGTTAAACAACGTTTTGAATCCTTTGAAAACAATTGCTTTGTGGATGATGGCATGGTCGCGCCAAGGTCTTGACCAAAATAACAGAAGTCTCATCTGTCCCCTGCTATATGAGCTGAGGTGACTGACTGTAAGGTAATAGGACTTGTCCCTAGCTGTTGGACTTTCGAAAGAGGCTCCAGAGTTCGACCTACTAAAATGCCGCTTTTCCGTCCTTACCACGCTTGACCAAAGACGGAACGACGGTTTCATGGGCAAAAGACATAGGAGGGACTGTTAGCAGTTTAAATCGGCAACTAATACAACTGTAAGTTCAGCTGTAATAGGAATGCAGTTAAAGTATTGTCCCTGACATATTCCACATTCCGTTAAAATGTGGCTGAAAAGAGGGGTTTTAATGAATTCCAACGGCGCAACGGGGATAACCTCCCGCTAAAAACAATACTACAGAATTAGACTTAGAAGCCTAGGCATTCTTGTCATTATCTCCATAGCGAGATAAGGACCTGGGAACAATAAATGTCTCATACTGCCCCATGCCGAACAACCGTTACCGTAGGTGAAGTTTGCGTTGGAACGTGACTGTTCTGTATGCATGCAAGACATGCACATTGTCACTTGTTAAAGGGGAATCTGGATGTATATAGTCCATGGTCAACCCGTGTTCGCGCCGCTGACACTTGATCTTCACACTCACTTCATGTCGCTCATTCAATTAATCGTCAATTTTCATCATGCGCCTGTCTTCAGGCCTCCTTCTAGCCAGCGCCTCTAGTGCGCTTGGCCAATTCAACCAGTTTACCAGATTCACAAACACGAGCACCTCTGCTGTCGAGACCTCGACCTCTCCCACTGAGTTCGAGACTTCTTCTGTCCCGTCTACCGCGAGCATAGAGACCACTTCCACCAGAGTCGAGACCACCGCTTCGTCCTCAGCTTCTGCCTTTGCACCAATTGTATTGAATCTTAAAGACGCCATTTTGGGCCCCGGTTCTTCTTTCTACCCACCACCAGACGGCGATACGATGTAAGGATCACCCAGAAGTCATCAAACCTGCAGCACCTCTAACTTACCCTGAATCTAGTCTCATGTCTCCTGTGGGCAGTGGCTCTACCCTCAAGCGTCGCGCTGGTACTGTTCCCTTTCCGGTTATCGCCCCCTTGAATCTTCCCAACAATGCAGGTTCCACTTTAAAACAACAAATCTCTTCAGCTCTAGCGTCTGCTTCACGCGCCGGCTACTACAGCCTCCAGGTAGCTAACGTCTCGTGCGCTGGCGCGATCGTTTGTCCCAGCGGATTCAGGAAGCGGGATGAAAGTAGCCCTTGTGCTTTCCAAGTTATCTCCAATGGTGAGGTTATCCAGATTCAACCTATTCCCGAAGGCTTCAGCGGCCGTATTGAAATATCTACCAACCCTTTCGTTCTGCAACTAGAGAACGAATTAAAACTCGAACAATCTTGCGGTGATGTCATCGTCCCTGTAGTCCTTGAAGCGGTCACGCTCAAGGATGCTCAGGGTGCAACTCCAACTCCTATCCCTACACCCAGTATTGGTGTTCCTACTGGTAGTGAGACTGATTCTTCTACCGAAACCAACACGGCAGAGTTTACTACCAACTCCGAAGGCGAGACCATCCTCCCTACTACCAGAAGTCAAGACTTTACGACCAACTCAAAAGGTGAGACTGTCTTCCCTACCGGGACGGATATCGCTACAAACTCAGAGGGTGCCACTACGAACTCGGAGGGTGAGACAGTCTTTCCAACTAGCACTTCTACTCATACCATTTCTGCAACCTCAACTTCTACTTCGGTTGCTGGGTTTCCCGGTGATGTCGGCGGTTTCAGTCTCTTCGGATGTGCGGCATCTACCTCAGGCTTCCCTACCTTTACGCTTGCCGAGTCGAGCGCGCTGATGGATCTCGGTGTATGTGCTGGCCTTTGTGAGGGACGTGCCTATTTTGGCGTCCATGATACGTAAGTCTTATCTTATTCTCTTGTATCTCAAGAAGGTGTTGTTAATAATTTGCCTAGCGCTTGTTACTGCGGTGATGTGTATGACTTTGACAGTACTGTGTTTTACAACCTGGACCAATGCGACATCGAGTGTCCTGGAGACAAGATGCAATTCTGTGGAGGTGAAGTCGAGAACAAGCTTCGAGCCCGCCAGGTCATCTCTAGCAATATTCTCCTTACGCTTTACGCCAGGGCCGAGGCTGTTGTCTCCCTGACTGAATCTGTCACCCAAACGGTAACTAATCAGGAGACTATTGTTACCACTTTCACGACTGTCGCTAGCGGTGAAAGCATAGCCACCGAGGTCGTCACTGCCACTCTGGTATGCGTTGATGGGAAATGCCATTCAAGCAGCTCAAAAAACGTTGCCGTCTACATTTTTGTCGAGATCAATGGCAGTGATTGTGACGGCCAATGGGTTTATATCTCTGAGCCCTGTCCTGGTGGTCAACAGTATATCCCCCATCTCTGCTCGGACGGAAAATGCGCCAGCATCAAGGTTTACAAACCTCAAAAATGCCCAGATTGGTATAACTACAAGTCTTTCTTTGTTCCATCAGATTGCACGACTTGCGCCCAGGGCAAGATTAGCTATCAACCTTGGGACAAGTCTTGGGGCATGCCTGATAACTGCAACGATCAAGTTCCTATCTGCGATACACTCGAATGTCCTTCTCAGCAGCCGGTTGTTAAACCACACCACGGTATCAGCTGGAACTCCACTATTCCTCATGGAGGGTCTGGAGGAGGCCATAGTCCGAGCCCCAACGACGGTTCCAGTGGAGGATCAAGCTCAGGCTCAAACGGGGGGTCAAGCTCGGGCTCGAATGGAGGTTTAAGTGGGGGTTCTAGTGGAGGCAGCGGCAGTGGTTCAAACGGAGGTTCCAGCTCTGGTTCTCAAGGAGACACTGAGGGTTCTGGATCTTCTGGTTCTAAGGGCTCTTACCCCAGCACTGTCCCTGTTATTAGTGGTGCTATCAAGCAGACATCTGGTGTACTTTCTCTTCTTGTCGGACTTTTAGCCCTTCTTTAAGTCTTGGGACTTTATTTTTTATTATATCTCTTACAAATCAGAATTAATCTCAGCACCTACTCCAGAATGATTAGCTACTAGTACCTTTGTTTCTGAGCTTTGGCAAGGTGAACTATCGTGGTATCTATGTGTCAAGTCACATTTCACTCAAGAAGTCGGTGTACGCCAGAACACCAAGAACCGTTAAATTCTGCAGAGTAGCGCAATCGAGGCCTTTGACAACCTCTACTAGCTGCATGAACTGCCCGATACGACATTTCAACTCTACTAAAATTACCACATTTAACCTAGTTCAAGCTTCACCATTCCTGTGACAAAGGACTATTGGATGTGTCAGGCCATTTACTAGCACTTAGCGACTTCCTAAGCTGGGATAGCTCCATTGTAAAAGCCCAGAACAGAATCAGACCTTAACGACAATTGAACTATTGAAGAGGGCTTACTCGATTGCAGCTGAAACACAAGAAACGATGAAGATGTAAAGTCTGAGCACAAGTATACATCAAGACCGTGCCAGTCATGCAATCTTATACCAAGTCATCTTGCGAAACGTTTAATATTTTTGGAGTCTCTGTTGGGCAAAGATGGTCTCATTAAAGAAAGCGCTGGCGCTGCTGTTTATCTGTGCAGCAAGTGCATTACCCGCTATCACCGAGAGGTACAGTGGTAACTCAAACGGAGGGATATCTGACTTAATGGTCAAGAAGAGAAGGTCAATGGATCCGCGTTCTGCTCTACCTACATCCAAAGCACCATCACATCCACTGTGATTCCAGTTAGCACCAAGTCGGTATTCGTTACAAAGAGTACCAAGACCACTATAGCCGCTGTCACTACAGTCAGAACCACCGTAACCGTTGTGAACCTATCTACCAAAATAGCCACAGTTTCGACTGTCATAAATAGAACGAGTACCGCTTTTATCACGGATTATCAGACAGCCACAAGTAGTTTCATCAGCACGACTACCCCAAGCGATACATATACCCTGCAGAGGGTCGGAACAATTACGCAGCAAGTAACTCAGACTACCACTAAAGCGTCTGCTACAACCGTCACCACGGGTGTTGATACAGCTATTACAACCGTTGTTCCAGTAAGCGTTGTTTACACGGTACAACCACTGTTTCTACCATCCTTTATACTACGTGAGTACCTTCCATGAACTCTGCCGTGGGGATATATACTAAAACCAACTCTTCCTGGGCCACGTGAGCCTCAGGAGCTCCTGTCGAAATCGAAGACTAACTTGGTGTAGTGCAGCAGCATCTGTGGTAGTCATCCCTGAAGGTACGTTCTCTTAGTGTCCGTTTCACCTCTGAGCTCCTACTGACATACCCTTAGCCGAAGTTCACTGCGGTGTTGTTGGTAGTTCAGGATCTACACCTGTGGACATAAGAGGCGGCTCAATTAGCTTCGGCGAGTGTAAGGAAATCTGCCACAGCTGTCGGTACTTTGGGCTCAGCAGTACAAGATGCTCGTACTATGTCTCCCATTTCCGAGTACACCGATATCTAGAGCTTAGTGAATAGCCTTTTGTAGACATTCTAGCTGACCATCTATCTAGAGAGGATACGGTTGCGGTAGACACATCTTCTGGTACAACATTCTATGATCTAGGGTGTACTTCTGCCACTCCTGTAAGTGTACCATATATCTTGCAAAGACCACACGCATATTACTAAGTTCATCCAAGCCTGACTAGCGCCGGAAGAGAGCAGTACAGGCTGTATCAGTGCCTAGTTATCTGCCCAACAAGTCACCGAGTGCCGTCAGTAGTGCTTGCTCATGCCTAATTACGAAGCCCGCTGCAGCCGTCACTACAAAAGTCACAGCCAAATCTTCCAAGACAGTCACGAATACTCAGACCCGAGACGTGACTTCGACGGTTACCAACCGCCTAAGTACCGTTATCACAGATAAAAAGACTAGCACTTCCGTTCTGTCCACCACTACTACGATCACTAGCTCTCAGATCGTGGCTCAGACAAATCATCAGGCTGCTACCACTACTCAAGTGAAGACCTACATTGTTACCAACTTCGATCATCTTGTTTATGTGTACAAGACACAATTTATTACATCTACCAACTTCAACACAGTTACTACCACTAGCACCAGGACCGTGCCAAACACTCGCTACAACACCGTTGTTGTTACTAGCACGCAGCCTACGACGGTCACTAAGGATGTTTACACGACTTCGCAGACGGCTCTTTCCACACGTACTGTATTCACAGGAGGGTCAACTATCACCAGCGGAACAACTACTATATATGGCAGTATCTGAGGGTTTCGAAGAGCTTCTTGTTCACTTTGCTATGGGTTGTCTAAAGCTTTCCTGGAGTCTGGGGATTAGGCTTTCCAAGAGGTATAACAGAACAAATCTGAACGCAAGAAGCAAGTAGTTTTCCATCTTCATTGAGGATCTCGATGTTCATATCAAACCGCCCACCGTGTAATCTCTTCATCGTGGTTCGAGTGAGGAGCCAGTCCTGTGAAGTAACTTCAGACCGGAACATAATGCTCATAGCGGTGGTGGGCATACCCCAGCTGCTGGCGGCCTCCATCCCATTCTCGTCATAGTTGAGGAAGATGGGAGGAACCTGTAGTGGAAAGTATGTTAGCGTTGGCCACAGAATCGGCATGTAGTGGTTACCAAGTCCGCCAGTACTGGCAAGTGCTCTAAGCCGAACTTTTTATCATTGTCCAGTTTCACCCACTGATATCTGGTGTTCTGGCCTCCGAACTCTTTACTCCACAGTGGCGCGTTGTCGCCCTTGGGTGTGTACGTCCTTATCGTCGACGCAGGGGGGTTCATATAATAGTAGCCTGCATCTGACCACCGAGTACAATCCTTCATTCGATCGGGCAATGGCCAAACTGACGGTTGCATATTGATTACCTGACCGTTGTCTTTCAATGTACCAAGCCTTACTATGGCAATTGTGCAGACCTTATCTTCATAGGCTTCCAACGACTTGAGCCTGGCTTCAACAGTCGAAGTTCGCTTACCAATGCTCAGAGTTTCAAGGGCAATCTCGAATTGACCCTGAGGTAATGGTTCGAGGTATTCCACGGATATGTTCAGAGGTTCCATGTTCTCGAGGCTTCCGTGCTTGTCATTGTGATATTGCCGCGCTGTCATCATCAGAACTGTGGCGCAATACCCACCATGAGCTGCAAGTCGCCGACCACCTATAAATTGATCATTAATTCTATGTCATGGATTCATGTGCTCTGAATGACGCACCCTTGCCGCACCAGTCTGGTGGGACGCTACCACTATATTTATGTCCATCAGAGTCTGCTACAGGGCTTGTTTTAATTGCATCGGGCAATGAGATTCGAGGGAATTTGTGAGGCCTCCACGCTGGAGTAACCTCTCGGTGGGAGTTGGGCAGATGCGAGTTCGACATGACTGCAGCGTTGGAGTGTCAAGTGACCGGAAAGAATTATAATGTTCGAAGATCTCGCCTCGGCCTTCCTCTCACGCAATAGCCTGGTGCGAGAATGAATATAGAACATGATTGAAGGGGCGAATTTATGATGGCGTGCGGTATTTATATGAATCGCCTTGGCAGCAATCAGTTAAACCCCGGCAGAGAAATAGGTTTTGAGAGTTCCGACTCTTCCGCTGGTTTAAGTGCGGTGCGTCGAACTTAGCATAAAATTAAAAATATGCCGAACGCGACTCTGTGATAACACGGTGTTTAGCAAATACAGTTTTATGATTAGTGAGATTTAAATATGTGTTTAGTAATCACGGACTATCAAATAAAGCCGACGCGCTTGTTGTTGCTGTTTTGATTCTAGGAAGCAGGCTCACCCGCTAAGGCTAAGGCCGTTGCACCAGATACTGGGGGTTATTAGTAGTGGTGATTTTATCAAGGCTTTGATGATGACAAGGGTAGTGACCATAGTCGGTTGCTCAATACATCCGGAGACCGTTTCAGCGCAGGTGTACCAAAGCGAATAAATGCATTCAAGTTTTCCTCCTCGGAGGTGAGGAGCCGAGCACGTCGCTTGGCACCATGGTGGACATGACGATATCGCTGGTGAAGCCTTGCTTCTTTGGAAGATAAAGAAGGTATCATTGCCGAGATCAAAGACCAGTCTAAGGGTATTCCAGGATATGGCAGCAGGTTACTCCAGCTATGTTCATTCTAGCAACAGCAACTCTGATAGAATTTCGTTGACCTGCATAAAGTCATTTTCTCTGATTAACGCCGGTATATGCAGGAGGATGGCAGGAAGAAATAGAAAGCAGGGTTCCTGCTGGTGGTCTATGAATTACTCCTGGGTAGGCTCTGAGACACATGTTACAATTGATACATACCTCTGCAGCATCATCTTGGTCTTTATTGGCCACTCTGTTCCAGCTGCCTTGGGTTCATTGAAGCCTCATGGTCGACTGTAAGAGCATGGAGGCACAGAAGACGAATGTTTCAAGTTTTGAAAAGCCAATGCTTCTACTAACCTCGATATGTCTCTCAGTCTTTGTTGATTCAATAATGACAAACTGGCCTCCTTTGATCAAGTCACCAATGCTACAGTTGTGGAATCTGCCCTCGCAAGTCTGCACGCGTCAACCAGAAGCCAACATTTTCAGATAGATACCTCCAGAAGTTGGGAAGAATGACTTGATCTTCTGCTGGCGAGGAATAGATTCCTTGCAATATAAGGCTTAGATTGGTCAGTCCTGATGGCGGCAGTTGGATGAGTCTGAGGATACTATGGCGCTGGAGCCTGGAAGAGACATATTGCATTATTGTTAATCCCGTCCTGACAGAAAGTTAATGTTGGGCCGCCTTCTGCCAGCCTCCAGACCGAAATACTCCGTCAGCTCGCCAACCGTATCCAAGGATTCAAGTCTCGAAGGCCTTGCCAGGCATGTTGGCGCAGATGAGAGCCAACTGGACGGAATAGTTGAGTAATTCAATAAGAGTGCCTCGAATGGGTTTGGCTGGTATTCTCAACGCCGTCTCAATTCTTATGATCAAGCTTTTAGCAATGCGAGCAAAAGTCGCATCCCAAGTAGGGCACTATCGAGCAAGAACTTTCCTATGCAGCAGAGGTCATTATACCGCAGCGATACTGGGACCATAATCAGTCTCGTCACTAATGAACGCGCGAGGATGGTGGAGAAACGATGTCAATATATCGAAAGATTTGTACGCGACAGATAAAACAGTAGTTTTGGAACCAGGTATCCTGGATTTCGGGGTGCCATTGGACCTAGGATGACTTTTTGCTATATCGATGCCTCAGATATGGCCCGCTGAACTTGTTTTTCGTGTCAAGGTCGATGACTGTTGGGGAATCAGGGATCCCTCTGCTCCTCAAAGTTAGCGTCTGTATCTGAAGATAAATCACTAGAGGTGTTTGAAGTGAATGCAATTGGCAGTGGCAAAGATGCTCAATGCGATCAGCGGTCGCGCAATTCCCTGCACCATCACCACCTTATAACCAACTCTTATGCGCGAATCCACTCGCTACCTCGTTGGAATTGCCTTGTTTTGTATTCGTGTGTATGTTACTCCGTACATGGTAGCAAAATTCCTGGTACAATTTGTCATTGCCTAAAAAAATATTGCATTGGCTTTTAAGCTTAATAAAAGCTCATCTGGACAATCTCGCGTCTTACTATGCCGATCAAATGATTGGTTGCATTCTGTGCAGTAATTTTAAATGAACAGTGAGACGTTATTTACTCCGCTGGCGAGTCATCAACACAGTCAATCAACAAAATCTAGAATCTGAATGCAGATAAGTGTGAGGTATTTTCCCAGCGCAAATCTGGTACAATTAGGTGAATGAGGCTATTGACGCAGTCAGCTGATCATGCATGCACTTGAAGAACCTCGGCCACGCAGGAATCGCCCATAAAGGTCCTCGTTGGCTAAAAATACAGCTAAAACTTAGTGGTGTGATGTAACGATGCACCCATGAGACTACACACGGGATCCGTTGTTAGGCTCGGAAGTCGGTCAATCACTTCCGTTTCTCTAGATTCTAGAACGAGCAGGTCACCCTAATGGTGAAAGTCAATTACAATACGAACTACGGATGCAACACGAACCATGGACTCAAAACCACGCCCCCAGTGTAGAAGAGCGTCATGGTCACGTTGAACTTGTGAAAAATTACCCTATAGTTGCACCTCGTGCGCGAGATTCCGAGCACTGATGATGGTTCCACCGTCGGCTTTAAATTACGGCAAGTTTTTCAGTGTCTGCCGGACCCGACGCTGTCTCAGAGCCCAGCCTCCCCCGCCTCGGCGTCCACGAATGACGTCCAGACCCGCTCGAGCTGCCACTTTTTCAAGATTTGGTATCCGTAGTCCCGTAATGGGCTTGGCTAGGCATGGCAATTCTGTTGAGCTCTCTGGTCTATGTACCGTCTGGTTCCTTCTGAAATGAGTCCATAGTAAATGCATAGACAGATGAGTCCGTGTTCTTACAGCGCTGGCGCGTTTGAGCGGTCAATCTTACTCATACTGACAATGCGGTGAGACCGTGAGGCTGCCTGTTTATTAGACCTGTTCACCAGAGATGCACAATGGCGTCACTGTCCTCTGTGTGCATGCAGTACACGGCTGAGGCTGGGCTTAATTCACCGATCTAGCTAGTCACAGAGTCAGGTACAAATGACATACCCGTCCTTGTGAACCATGCTGTGGCCATTACGTCGAAATGTCCGATCGCACCGCTCAACAAAGAAGCATAATCCCAATCCAGGACTAGCGGGGCGGACGATGCACGGGTAGGGCCATGATCATCCCCTGGCTCATCTAATAATAACCCACCGGCCCTGTGAATACGAGCTAAGCATAATTCTTAATGCAAAAACCCATGCGATAATAACATGACGCACAGAGCAGTCGGATGTTTCGGCATGCAGTCCACTGCAGCACTGGGCTTGATTTTCCTTGCATTTGCTGATCTTGACGACCCCGCAAAAATATCACGAGGCCAGAGTTTCTCCGGACAAGACGATGGATCATACTTCGTATAGGTGATATTAGGGCGCAGCTAGTGCACAGTACTTCGTATCCTATTCGAGAAGCCCAGAGGTCAGATCCCAATTTTCACATAATATAAAGGCATATACTTACCCAGCTCTGGTTCACTTTTATCATCTCATCTCATCATTCAATCTCAATCTTCTACATCACAACCCCTCACATCAAACTTCTCCATACACAACTCTTAAACCGTCATCATGAAGTTCGCTGCTTTCACCGCCCTCGCCGCCGTCTTCGGCTCTGCTGCTGCTGCCAACAAGGCC